CCTTTTTACCGTGATCACCGCAAACTAAAAATCATTAATATGACTGTTTTAGTTTTGAAGCTCGTAATGAATAGCTGGAGGGTTTTGCAGCAGCAGTCTTGAAGAAGAGTTTAGAAAATTGTCATGTTCCTTCTCCAATGATATGTATCATAACATTTTCCACCACTGCATAATCCATGTTGCCAGCACTAAATATTGAGATTTGGTTAATTTAGGGATTTATGAAAAATGTAATTTTGTAATCTAGCTTTCATAATTGGTACTGTAGAAGGAATGGTTTTCTCTAACAACAAAGACACGTGTAATATGGCAGATTGCTGGTGCTGCCAGAGAAATAGTTGTTATTTTGTTAACCCGAGGAACTGAAGATGACTGCTTTAGATTATGCAGTAAACTAAGAAAGTAGGGATCTGCTGTGAAGTCCCATGTTCTTCTGCTGTTATGAGTCCTCAGTGAACATCTCTGTAGTTGCTGTCTGTCTGATGCCATCCATAACTGATTGTATAACATAGTTCCCAATGGAGAAGTGAACAAATAGAATTTTTGAAAGAATGTTATTGAAGAGAATTTTGTGTCATTTTTTTACATAAAACATTTATTGAGGTTGCTGAGTGTATGTGACAGATGGTGCTCTTATGTCACATCCTATCTTTCATTTTGTTTTGCAACATGCAAGTCTTCCATGCATGCATAATTGCATTACAACATTGTAGGGGTTTTTTTTGTGTACTCACTGAAACATAAAGGAATAATCCAATGTGAGATCTTTAATGGGGGGTTGTGCTAGCAGTGCCCTTAAGCTGTTTGCTTTGATGTTAAGCGCTGGCTAACTAGTATGTTTTATGATATTTACCTTCTTAAGGTAAACTTCAGGTGTAAAGGCAAGAGCGAGATGTTATTATCATCAATCTCCTGAATCCACTCTAGACAGGTGATGTTCACTATGTAATAATGTTTTTTGGTCTACATTCTGAAGCATACAAAACAAATAGTTCCCTCACAATGAAAGCACGCAGGTATATTTAAACTTTCCAGCTTGAGTACTCTTCAGATGCTAGTGCCTTAATATTTTATGATTTAAGTTAAGTATCTGTGTGATTCTAAAATTGGAATGAAGAAAAATAGATATTAATTTTCATTATATGTGGCATTAATTTTCCCCTTTCTGTTAACTGGAGAGTGAACTTGAGCCTGACTTCATTAGAATGTTGCTATTTTATTTATATGGCATCCTGAATAGCTTCTCGTGTCTCTTTTACGTCTGGACATACTGCACTTTGCTGTTGCCCTTGGCTTACATTAAGCAAATTCATCCGTTGTAGTGCCTTTCTAACTGAAGAGTCATTTGTGAGAAATGTAGAGATTATCTCTATTTTACTAATTGGGAAACCAGAAATGTATGTGAGACTTACAGAATATGCAAAGCCAATAAGCTGATAATATTGCTGAAATTTTTATTTTGAGTCTTATCCCTGTTATAATTATTTTGACTGGTGAGTCTTGATGCTTCATTGTTGTTTGTATGTATGCATTCTTTAAACACAGTTAACATATGAAGGTAGTGAGGACATCTTTCCTCATAATGCAAGAAAGAGAAAGAAAACACTTAAACCAAGACTAATTATTTCCACTCAATGCATAGTCAGTCACTGAGTCCTTTACTACCTTTAAGGCTGTTATAGTTGCATGAACTCGTTTATACCTTCTTTTATTGGCTTTTGAACACAGTTTTCAAAAATCTGATTGACTGAATTGCTGCCTGTTGCTGCTCTGGCTTGTGTAGATCAAGGCAATTCATGCTCAGGGTTGTCAGCTAACTGTATTGACATGCTGTTGGTTAATTGAAGAAGTGCTGGATATGACTGATTTTGGTCTGTTTTTTCAATGAAGTCTTAGACATCATGCTTGGTTCTTTAGATCATTGGTCAAGTAAAATTGTAAACATGTTATTTATATTTTTGTGTCTATTCTGTGCTTTTGAAAGTTATTTAATCTTAATCCTAACCTTCCAGCATTACACTGTGTAATATTTCAGTAGCATTTATAATTTCATACAGCATCAATATCCTTTGATTCTGACACAGCCTAACTGATGTTTCATTGTAAAATAAATCCACCATTGTAGTATTGGAAGCGTAAAGACAACTATACTGATAATGCCTGATAAGCAAAATGTGCCAACTTGCCAGGCTAGTTAAACTGCTTATGCTGTATGAAGAGTAGAAGTACATCAGAAACCAAGTGAGTTTTTTTCCTTTCGGAGTGTAACGTTGATCTGAGTAAAAATTACAGTCTCAAGCCAAAACCTGTCTGAAGGAACTGAGAGGTGTGTTTCTTTATCCTATGTAAATGCTGCAGATGTAAAATGCACTGTATAATAGATGGTTGCTGTCAAACAAATGATAGGATGGGATGAGACAAAATGAGTAGCACATGGCTTATTTCATGCAACAACCTTCTACTTGATTTCCCTTAGTTACAGTGTACATTACATGGTTTTAAATTATCGAAGCTAAAGAATGTAATATTTCTTTTTTAGCTTGGAGCGTGGCTTTGTAAGCCACAGTATACCTTTTCATTATGTTAAATAATAGTTGAGCTGTGAGGAACAGGCCAGTTAAAGGTCTTCCACTTAGAATCATAGAATGGTTAGGGTTGGAAGTGACCTCAAAGATCATCTAGTTCCAACCCCCCTGCTATGGGCAGGGAAACCCTCCACTACACCAGGTTGCCCAAAGCCTCATCCAACCTGGCCTTGAAATATTGTTCATATTGTTTCTTATAACAGTATATACTTCATGCAAGTGTGTTGTTGGGCAAACTAATTTTTAATTGATGTCACAAGTAATTGCTACTTTCTGCCTAGTTTAATAGTTGTGTACTGAACCATTTCTAGTGCAGTTTGCCCCACCATAGTCACTCTTTGACAACATACTAATAAACACAAAGGCAGTAAGATATGCTTTGTAACAGCCATAAACTTGTCTATAGCACTTCTGATTTGTGTTCATCAGGACTTGAAGTTTGTTAAGTTAACTCATTGGCTGTTAATTAACATAATACTTGTTAGGAGTTAAAGAAGATCAGCTAATGAAAATTTATGCTGAGCTGTCAACCATATTAAAATTCAGTTATAGTCTGAGCTGTCAACCATATTAAAATTCAGTTATAGTCTGATCCTTGAGACTTTCAGCATTATGTGACAAATCTGCTTTGAATAAATTTTGATTAATGTTCAGGTTCTTTTTAACCATTTTGAATAGTTTATTTTCTGTTTCCTATTACTCTTTCTTACTGAAGTATTGACATATGAGGACGACTTTTTCCCCTTTATATGAATACATTTTTTCTATTGTGTATGTTGATGATTCAATATTTGCAAGAGCATCATTAATTTTTTGAGCAGTTATGGTAGAAATATGGTGCCATCTGATTTTTGGTAGGTCAAATTTCTAGTCGCTGAAAGTTGACTTGCTACCATATGACAATTTTCTGATTAGCTTTCTGAAATCAGGGTTCCGTGTCGGAGCAGCTAGATTCCTAGGCTTACCGAAAGGGCCAGGCCAGAAAGAGACTGTGGAGCTTTTAGCTCCTTGCTATTGGTGAAAGGTTCCCTGTTCTGTGAACAGAGCACATGATCTCCTGGGTACCAGTCTGTAACATACCAGCATCAGAGTGTGTGTGGGGAGTGTGTTCTTATGGTTGTGAGTAGTTTTGCCTTCTTTATGGGAAATCATAGTCCTGCAATTTTTAGAAGAAATAAATGTAGAAGACTTTTTTTTTTAAAGTTTAAATTGAATGAATATGACTTTGTGGCCTTAGTGACCTGAACTTCGGATAGCGTACTTTTTGGAAAGATCATATGTTTTGACTACCTGTGCAGCATAATTGTAACAATTCTTGGACACACGCCATTGTTACAATCCTAATATGTAGCAAGAAATGAGCCAGAGTTGGGTAGAAAACAGTTACCAGTGCAGCAACAACCTATTGAAGGACTGTAACAGCAATGTGATGGGTTTGTTTGTGGTTTTTAGTGGGTTTTGGGGTTTTTCTTCCGCTCAAGTCCTTAGCGCTTCCCCATTCTTTCACCTGCCTTACACGTGCATCTCTAGATGTGAAGCCTTTTGGCCTCCTGTGCATCTGCCTTAACAGAGAACAGCAGACGGTGTCTGTCAGGTTAGAGCAGGAGCAAGAGGCCTGATTCTTCCACAAAGTAGCTAGGTTTCTAAACTAATTTTCAAGTCTTTAACGATATTTGTTAACAATAGTTGATCTTTTGGTTGGTCTGTCCGTTTTTAATGGTAAAAATACATAGATAGTTTTATGATGTCCCTCTGTCATAAGAAAGAATAATTTAACAGTTTCTTTATGTGCAGGTATGAAGGTTTCTCCCTCCCCCCCCATTTCTCCCTCTATTATTCTTTGTAAGCTTCACAAGTGTGGAGGGAATTGCAAGACAAATAAGAAGGCAATAATAAAAGTACAGGTGTGCTGGGTATGATTTCTTAGCCTGAGTCATAATGTATCATTGAACCACAGCTCCAATCAGCTGGTCTGTTCATAAGCTTAATTAGATCTGTTACCCACAGACATCAGAGTAAGTCAATGTGGCATTGTCAGCTTCCCCATAGAGTTTGAAAATGATGAGAATACATCCTGTGGAAGCAAGGTAACGAAAGATTCCTTTGCTGCAGTTACGTCAGGAAGCCCTATGGAAAAGAAGGTGTAAGAGGAGAGGAAAATGAGTCATGAAGCAGCTGTCTTTGTATGAAGCAGGAAATTTGTGAAATCCAGGCCCAGAGAGTGGAAGAAGGCTCTTACTTTACATATACTCTCTCTTCTTCTGTGTATATCTTCCAATTGATTATTTTCTTTAGTTCCTGATGTTTCTGTTGGAAGAATAGTAAGATCCCTCAGTAAATGAATTTGATCAGTAACCAAAGACTTCTTTTTCATAATAGTCCTAATATGTCTGTTTTCATTTTGTTGTTTTTCAGCTGTATCTTGTTGGAGGATCTTTTGGACTACGTGAATTTGCTCAAATAAGATACGATGTCCACAAACTGCATGGCAAGGTAGTTGAAACAGGTTTCTTTACTTTTCATTTTGCTTATGAATTGTCTTCTAAAGGATTGCTAGGACAAGCACACTATTGGTATTGGGGGTTTACCTTTAACCACTGGGCCCTGGGCTACAGCTGAGACTCTTAGGCAGTGAGTGGTTTAGGTAACAGTAAAGGGGCTGACATGATGATGAATCCTTTTACGATCAGTGAAGGGGATCAACATAAATAACAGAAAAATTTTGTTCCTTTGATTGGTAATAAGTGGCAATTCTGCATCCCAAGAAAGAAGTGTAGCACATCTAGAAGGAGATTATGAGAAAGATATTGTATCTGATTTAGACTAAGAGAACTGGTGTTTTAAAAGGTTCTGTTGTGAAACAATACTTGGCATGAGTATATGATGTTAGATGATTTTCAGGGCTTGACTTTGTGTTGACTGAGATAAACAGACACCTTTAATGTGCTACATCCTGTGCTAGCTTTGTGAAAGAAACAGGAGCTAATCTTTATGTCAGAATCTACTATATGGAAAAAGCCTTTCTTTAAACACACTGGAAACCTTCTGAATGAGGGAAATAACTTGCTTGCTAATGCTACTTACACCTCAAGTGTAACATTAGTTCCAAGTTGTATATGAAGTTACCTGAAAGAAGCA